GTGAACTAGTGGGTGTCTACTATATGCGTGGTTACTGCGACGTACGCCTATGTGGACTAGTGGGTGTCTACTATATGCGTGGTTACTGCGACGTACGCCTATGTAGACTAGTGGGTGTCTACTGTCTACTCTACGTCTACTCAGTGTCTTTTGTAAAACATAGTCATCGCATGATGGGTTTACATGGTTCAGCCCTTTACCGGTTATCAGCCTAGCGCGAAGTATGCCAATACACTCAGTGGTGTTTGTAATGCACAGCCATCACGTGACAGGTTACATGGTTTAATCCTTTACTAATTATTAGGCCAGTCTTTCTCAGGCTGGCCATCCTCGAGACTGGAGAGGTGTGCCTACAGAGCAGGACCATACATATTTCACACTAAGCACTGAACTGCAGCAACTGCAGTCTTGATAAAGGCACTTAATTACATTTAATCATCCACAATTTCCTTTCAGTAACACACCATGTGATGGTTTAATTACTACTGCACACGAGCAAATTAAGAACATGAATAACCACGAACCCAATATAAGGAGATGAGTTGAGAGCAGTGGTTCTTCAGGGCACTGGCTCCAAGCGAGTCAGCTGTCTGGAAATACTTGATGCAGTTTCCAACTTTGACAAGTCGCATTAGGGCATTCTCACATCTGCAAATTGCAGGCACTATTCATTAACGAGCATCTATAACCGAGTTACAGAAGAAATCTTTACGGATGGAAAGTTCTATCCTCTTTCTTTTACTCTTTTAAACAAATTATTCTTTGGTTTTATGCTAGATTTAACACTCCCTATTCTGAATAATTGACTTATCTGAATATGTAGACATTTTTATGTGCTACGAATTAATAGATCTAGGAAACTGAAAAATTACTAACTACCTACTCCTGAGAAATAACCAGTACAATCACTAGAATATTACTTGTGTATGAGGCACTTCAGTTGAAACTTGCTGGCAGCTTGCATGAGATTAAGAATGAAGTCCTCGTCCCCCTGCAGGTCAACCTTATCTGTATAAACCCAGTTCATCATTGCTTGCCCAATTACCAGGGGAACATCTGTAGAACAAACATGTGCATTTAAAACTCGACACACATTCACAGAACTAGTTACTGGTGACCGCAGATCCACCTGGAATCAGAAATAATTCCCAGTAGCAAATATTAGGCTACTGAATTCGTTATCAATCACCACCGCAATCGTTATTACTAATTACTGAAGAAATTGTACAAAGTTACTTTAAATAGCTCTTGCTCATTACTGCAATCTTTTTATGTGGTAAGTTATGTAGATTTTGCTGATTGCACCACTAAGTTTTCAAGTTTATGCAAGCATGCATTGTAAGGTTGTACTTGGCGTGACGTATAACGGGTATCGGGTGATGAGTAACGGTAGTGCAACGTGCAAAGCAAACACGAACTAGAGACGTAACGTACCACACACACGTATATCGTAAGCCATGGTAAACAGTGACAAATAAGCAGTGACGCGTACAAAGGGCAAGTTTATGCAAGCATGCATCGTATATAAAGCATATATGATTTCACACTCGCAGGCCAATATTTTATTAAATTTTAATGTAGGATATGTACAACCTATTCTACGTGTAGCTAGAGAGACTAGTTTACACTTTACAGTTAGATACTACACTCACCTGAGAAATCCAGTGAACTGACATCGTTTAGATTTGGCACACCCCATGTGGTGCTGCGGGCAGTCAGAACAAACTTGTGCGCTTTCAGTTTATGACCACCTTCAAGAGTGACTATCAGGTCACTGAAAGAATAACTTTACTATTGTAGTACGTAGCATAATTTGTATAAAAGTAACAGATTATCTTATAATGTATAATAACATGTTATATACACACAACCTATATAACAGAATTGTACAGCACCAAAATCTTCAACTTGCACATCAATGGTCATTATTTTAATTCGATGAATGAACTATTCAAGGTTGTGTTTAGTTCACTTAGCATGGCAATAAAGTTTTTATAAATGTTAAAGCAAACTAATTCATTGTACCTGTATAGCTCTTCATCGTACAAATCAGCAACTGTTGTGAGCAGCCTAGAAACGAACGTCTCCTCTCCATCCTGCTCTCCAGACGAGGCAACAAGCAGATTGTGTTTCTTCTCCAGTTCATCGTACTTTTTCTGTAGTTTCACGTACTCATTGTGTAACAGAGCGAGATGGCGCTGCAGTTTCCCAAGCTCGCCTAGAAGAAGGATATAACATTATGCCTTGCCTGTCATATAACAAATGTGTATGCCACAAAATTAGACAAGAACAGTAATTAGAGAGCTGCCTGCTGCACGAGGACACTTTGTGACTGGTGGAAATAAAATCAATTTAGGTCAAGTGCTAGTGGAATCGTCAGTGTTGAAAGTGGTGAGATCCAAAACGCACCTTTAATAGGGTGTGTGCAGTGGGGAGTTACTGCTATAATTTACTACTATAATTTACAATCGAACACGTTCAGCACAAGTTGCCTTACGTGTTAAGATTAGTTAAGAGGCGTGTATAGTGCTGAAACGTTCTCCCAATACTATATCTACAAAAGTGTACGCTCGCAGTCAGCCTTAGCCTAGAGAGATGTTTTGAACTTTTGGAAGTTTTGCACACAGGCACTTGAAACGTCTCAATAAAACAAATTCATGGTAAATAAACATGAAATGTACCAAAGTCTTAATGTTTCTCTACTCTATTTTGCCTATAATCACCTGTAAATGCCGGTCAAATGCTCATCTGCAACACACAAGTACACCGCACACCCGCCCTGTGCACAAACAACATGAATAAGAGAGCAGGTAGGAAAGCGGAATTTAAAAATTCGTTCGACGCTCGCTTCATTTCACACGATCACAAAACGAAAGCACATCCAACAGCTCCCATCTTGGTATCTCTGCATACATAAATATTCACTTGTTCGAATTATAACTCTGGTCTTTGTTCTTACCTACTCCCGCCAGAGATATCTCGTGAAATCCTGCAGGAAATGTACTCTCCGTGAAAATGTAAAGAGGACGGTATCATCCGAAAATCCCTAACATCGCTACTTTCGATCAATCGCTGTAGTCGTTGTGTGTGCGTGACGTCATGCCCGCGCGCATTGTGCTTGGCTTGGCCACAGGCGGGCCTCGAAACGAAGCTCGGAGGCCGGCAGCAGCTCATCCCGGCATGCAATGCGCCCCATTACTCGTGTATAAACAGACATCTCGTCCTCTTTGCATTTTCACGAAAAAAACATTTCCTGCAGGATTTTACGAGATATCTCTGGCGGGGAATAGGTAAGAACAAAGGCCAGAGTTATAATTCGAACAAGTGAACATTTATGTACACATAGATACCAAGATGGGAGCTGTTGGACGTGTTTTCGTTCTGTGATCGTGTGATGAAGCAACGCGTTCAATAGAATTTTTCAATCAATGTCCTACCTGCTCTCTATTCATGTTGGTTTGTGCACGCAGCACAGGCTGCGGCGTGCGTGTACTTTGTGTGTTTTGTTTATTTTTCTTGCAGAAATGAGCATTTGACCTTGCAATTTACAGTGTTATCAGTTCGAAATAGCCAGTAGCAGAAACATTAAGACTTTGGTACATTTCGTGTTTATTTACCATAAATTTTTTTATTGAGACGTTCCAAGTGCCTGTCACACACAGTCAACGAGTCATTGTTGACACAACTTGTCTCGTCTAGTGACTCTAGTCTATTATTCTCCTACCATATTATTTCTGTCACTCTACATACTACGTAATGCAACTTCAAACAAAATTCTTAGCTTTGTTATTTTAAATTAATGTATTTCATGTTATAATTATTAATTAACATCAGAATGACAGTATTTTTGGAATAGTTTACACAATTTCACCTACCATCCGCCATCATAGCAGTTCTGCACTATCGAAAAGATTTACACATTAGACTGGTTCCGTGATCTACAGACTAGTACAGTGACCCTATGACGGTAATAGACAGCTACCATAAACTGATACGTGACCAGTCTATAAAATTATAATACAATACTTTAATTTTAGTTATTATATTAATTAAATGATAATTAAAACAATTATTAAATATGGTAAATTTTAACATGTCACATAATGTTAATTTTATAAAAATATGAAACTGTTTTTTTATGCGAGGCGATTATTAACGAATAGAAGTTAGGTTTTCAAACACCATATAGCGTTAACCAATCACGTTGCCCCTAATATGTTTTGAAAAGCGGCGCGTTTGAATGTTTTGAATTTTACTACGTGAATGTTTGTGATCCATATATGACTGAACTTTTATTCAATCAGTAGGCCACGACTGCCTAACTCATCGCTAACTAAGGCTACCAATAACAAATAATTCTTGCAAGATGAATACAGAAAATGTAAGTTATTTAAACGATGTCACAGATGCGTTTAAAATGTGACTTGATTAATACCTGAACTCTTGAACTTGAAGTTTCCTCCTGTTTGATTTATTTTAGTTTACTGTACACTTTCAACTTTACACTTGACACTTGTGACTTGCTGCGTATGTATGATATGATGTATATAAACTAATTAAATACATCATGTTGCCAGATGTTAACTCTACGTATTATTTTTTCCTTCTCACGCAGCGTGTTCTCACAGATGCTACTGCTAGTTCCCAGCAAAGATCGATTCCCAGACCGAGTCGGCTAAGACCCCCAGGCTCAGGCTCGCGGATCAAACCTCCGGGGTCAGGTATGAGACCCCCTGGGACAGGTATAAAACCTCCCAGTGCAGGAGAAAGACCACCGATATATGGCCTAGTAAAAGGAAAACCTCAATCAGCGGGCATCAAGCGGTCTGTCTCCACATCGTGTCTTGCTGAGGTAATTTTGTTCTTCCACTAGTACTAGTAGTAGTAATAGTATTACCACCTTATAGTATTATAGTATTATAGTATTATAGTATTAGTAAGTCCAAGGACCAAGAGACTATATCAAAGACAGAGCAAGACACTTGATCAAATACCAAATAGACAGATCAACTCTGCAGATCGCAGTAGACAAAGCTTCGATTTTGCAATTAACCAAAGAGGAGGGTAGAGAATTCCAGTATCGAATGATTGAAAAGAAGAAGCTATAAACTTCTTTAAAAATCCTTTGAAAATGATTGAGACAATGGTATTATGCAGGGTTTCTTCTACATAGGAGGCACTGCGGCGCACCACCGTTGTCATATTTAACAACGCCGTTGTGAAAATGTTCCTGTATTTACCCGCCGTTGTCAAAATAGTGTCAATCCAAAAATAATTAGATCACCACGTGCTTCTGACTATATACATGGAAAATCGTAATGAAATTAACAGCAACGTTTATTTTTTTGTGCCGGCACACTCTTGTGTCATTCCCGATTGCAGCTTTTTCCTCGAATCTGGGAAAGTTTTGCTGTCGCTCCCTCATACCAGCGGTGCCCACCCCTACATATACAGCAATAAGCATGCCCACGCGACTGTAACAATCAGTGCATTCGCCCCCACCCCCCGTACTTCAATCAGTGCCGCCCCAGCCAGCAAGCACGAGCCACGATGTGCACAACCACGGACGTGGGTAACAGGGGTGTCGCGGGCTGCTTTTTTTCTCTCTTTTTGGCGTGAATGCGTAAGGCGTGCGGGAGAATGGGTCCAGATGCGTGAGACTTGGTAGCCCGGTAGGTCTGCTAACAGAGTAAGATTTAAACTAAAAGGTGAAATTTTATTTTCGTGGTGCCTCAAATGCAGTCTAAGACCTTCAAATTTGTAAAATTTTGCTGGGGGAGACTCCCAGAACCCCACTCTGCCTCTCTCCCCTTGCGTCTGCCTGCAGAATCCACATTCGTGCTTACTGCACGCCTTTGAATCCATCATGTGCGTTTTCCACAAACTGGCCATTGCCGCCCTTGTCTAATTTTCCCTCAGAAGAAACCCTGTTATGTGTACCATCCTAATGTCGTACCGCCTACAGTTATCTACTCTGACATGGGCTACAAGTTTTAAGTCTCCAGCAATCTAAATATTCTGTTCCAGAACCGATCAAATGACTCACACAAGCGACAGAGGGTTGGTTCACCACCCGGAACAAAGCACGGTACAGGAAGACCAGCCCCACAGACTAGACACACTTCTATGAAAGGTAGTCATGTAAAACCTTCATGAGTCAGTTTTGTTCTCAACTTTTCAGTTCCATTGCAAATCATTGATATTATTTATACCTGGTCGTGCAGTGACGATATAAGATATGATATAGTCAACATGGCTAGATATTAGCAATAAACAAGAAAAAGAAGTCACGACTTTATTTCTTAAACAAAGCAGATTTATATCCAATTTATGTGTTCTTATATTGACATATCGCTTTACTGCATAAAGATTTCTGCATGTTCTGAATATCATCAGATATTATATTCAAAGCATTCAACATTTCTCGTGAATTTACAGCAACCGTAAGGGCTACCGCACCCACGGCAGGCAAACCTCCATCAGGCAGGCTGGCATCAACAGCACCACCTGCTAACATGGGACCTTCAGCACCAGGTTGTTTAATCTACTTCGTTTCTATCTTTCCGCATGCATGCTTGTATTGTTTATATAAAGTGTTAGCTAGCATTATCATATTACTGCCCCTACTGCAAATATCCGGATGGCATCAAAAACAATAAGAGTTGCTGAATAACGATATGTCCTACATAAATCCCCACCTAAAATATCATTGTAAACAATTCCACGATTTTAGTTGTGTTTGGTCAGGTAAATGTTACCAGTCTGATAATGAGTGTAACACATTGATTGGTATTACATAACTCACAGGAGGCAAAAGCAAGCGTGCTGCCTGGGACTTAAAGGGTCGATTGCTAGACATGGAGGCAGTTTTGAATGCTAATACAGTGAGTACACTGACAGACGTGTAATGCTTGACAAATTGTTTCCAGAAATTTACAGTTAAACAAAGTTGCCCGTGCTTAATTATGTATTTAAGGGGGGTTTATGTCGGGCTTGCGAGCGGACTAGACTGGAAGCAACTGGAAGCGATCGGCAGCGACTAGTTGCGTCCAGTTGCCCACTGTTCTATTTCGAGCAACTATAGTGGCGGCCAGTCGCAGGCAGTCGCGTCGCAGTCGACCGACCTAAGCCAGTTGCTTCCAGTCGAGTCGGCTCCCAAGCCCGACATGAGCCCCCCTTTACATCCGTACTTCGTTGCGTTTGTCTCTCAGTCTCGGCTCGTGGTGCTGGAGTCGACAAACATACAACTGGAAGGAACGGTGAAGGAAAAGGAGATCGTCTCGACAGAGATCAGTCTGGAGGCCGAGGGACTGCGAAAGAAGCTGAAGTATGTTGCCTTCTCCTGCCAAACAACTTCGCTCCTGCTTGCCTTCTCCTAATGACATCACTCTCATACGTAAAACATGGGCCCAAGGCTAGTATAGCACCTCGGATTAGTTTAGCACATGTGCAAAAACACATTTGCGAGGTCTCAAACTATCCTTGATCCAAACATTGCATGTCGCATCTTTTGTTGCCATTAGGAAGATCACATTAGCAATTAAATTTTGTATGAAAATGAGGCGTGAAGATATGTTAATCAGTACGATGTCGTTTGCGTCTGCGCAGAAAAGCTGAGACGGAACTGGAAAGTATTCAGCACAACTACAAGTCTCTCCAGCACAAATTTCACACGTCAGAGGAAGAGAGGGAGAGTGCTCAAGCGCAGGCCACGAGTCTGCGCTCCTCTGTGACCCAGTTGACTGCTGCACAGGCCGGCATATCTGTTGAACTACAGGCCACAAAGGTAAGTCAAAGATACCTGTAGTAGTTAGTGGTGACATCCACCGGATCGAACCTGTCGAAAAACTGCGAGGCACAGTATCCGTTGTTACTATTTGATATACATGTTGTTTGTCGAGAAATGAGGCTCCTTCGCAGATTCAAAAATGAATTCAAATTCATGTACGAAAGAAAATGTTGCTGAAGTATCACATGGGCACTGGTTCGAATGTCATTTAGTGTCCACTGCACGTCAGTCCACGTATGTGTGCGAATGTCTTTTCTCCTTGTGACATCTTGTCCTCTATTCTCGTGTGCGCGTGGGCAACAGATGAGCTTCTTATACTTATAGATGAGCTTATTCAAATGAGCTTCATATCTATGTTATCTCTCGTAGGTGCCTAGGTGGCACATAAGGCAGCACTTGACAAGAGATCTCCAAAGCTCCTCATATATAACCTCTATTTTCTCGTTCGTACGACAGATGGGCTTCGAGCAGAAAGTAAGTGAGAGCCAGAAGCTGCAGGCGGAGATCGCCGAGCTTCGGAAGCTGCTAGCCGAGCGAGAAGCCACGGTCCGCGCCGGCGAGCAGAAGATTCGAGAGGATGAGGCCGTGCGCAGAGCGCTTCACAACACGATACAGGAGCTAAAGGTGCGTGCCCGGGGCGTGTATTACTGCAGCTCTGCTGCTTTGATGATTGTGAATAACATACCATGTGATCAATATAGCTCTTGATGCTATATAGCTATAGAGCTAATCAGCCTAATAATTAGCTCGTGATGTAATGTACATACCATGTGATGTATATACCATGTATTATTAGTGCTTGATATATCGGTTATTGTTGTAGCTGCAGTAATAGGGTATATAGTAATTAGCAAAGGGTGATAGTAATTAGTATATTAATAGTAATCAGTATATAGTAAGTTGTAAATAGGGTTAGCTATAGTTATTGGTTTATGTTGCACTAAATTTCATCGATAATACTGTTTAATTTCTGCTTGTCATGCGATGTGATAACCTTCTAGTTTAGATTCGAGAAATGAATTTAGCCAGTAAAGATGTGTCTCCACACACGCGGCACGACACGACACAGCAAAATGCAGTGCCGTTGTGCTGAAAAAAAACACATTGTGATTTAGCGCATTGTGTTCACTCTGGTTCAGTGATCAGAAATTATGCATGTGCTTGTTGTCCATTGGCTGATGGTAGCGCGAGCAGAACACGTGATAAAAAGCAATCGCGTTGATTGGTTCAATTGTCTTTCTCTGTACACGGCAGCCGGCAAAAGTCAAACTCATTTGACTTTCGCCGTCGCCGTGAAACCGGGATGGCGCCGTGCCGTGTCAGTGGAGATTTGAACTTTGCCGGTAGGGGTGAACGACGCCGTTTCCGTGTGTGGACAGACGCTGCTAAGAAAACGTAAATATATGTGATTTTTTTATGTGGTTTGTTTCTCATAGGGAAATATTCGCGTGATTTGTCGCGTCAGGCCATTGCTGCCCTTCGAGAACAGCAACGGCGAAGACTCGGAAATCCATCACATAAACTTCCCCAGGGGGGACGCCACTAAGCTAGAACTCGAGAAGCTGATCGATGGCAACCCTAACGAGGTACCTATATATACTCTCGTCGAACGTTAACACGAGATTCCGACGTAAACATCTGACGTTGTTTGTGTAATACTGTGTACGCTGTATATTTCGCGGTGGTTTAATTTTCGCGAATTTCGCGAACGCATCCCCGACCGCGAAAATAACAAGACGCAAATAATTCATACCGAATAATACCGAAGAAATTCATAATTCACCGACCGCGAAATTGTCCGTCAACTCTGAATTCGTGAAAATAACTGTACACGAAAAATATATGGCGCATACAGTATGATGTGATTCAGGACAACATCGTTGAATCGTCGCTAAATGATTTTATATATTTGATAATATTTTTCCTCACGTCATCGTACATTGCCTGTTGATTCAGAGCACGATGAGCACAGCGAGCACTCGAGGAGGAGGCAAATATCAGTTCCTATTTGACAAAGTCTTCACTCCGGCGTCCAGCCAGCAAGAGGTCTTTGACGAGATTTCCCAGTTGGTGCAGGTAGGAAATTACTACTCCTAACGGCTTTACATGCGCAGCTAGTTTTGGTCTGCTATTGACTTCATCTAATGTCAGGTACACTGACGCTTACTACTGATGCATCATTGGCAGCTTCGCTTCTCTAGCAACTGCAATAGACTCTGACATGCCACTGACATTTATATATACCCGATCAAACTTTAACTCGCTGATGCATGATTTTGCCGTTTGTGATTGCAAACGCAGTATCTCTGTTATGCGCGACTGCTGTTGCCGCCTACGCTAAGGATTGTATCTGGACGTTCTATGGAAGTCCCTGGATTGTCCCTACCAAAGATTTTTTCTCGCTGCTTTTCAGTCTGCTCTGGACGGGTACAACGTGTGCATCTTCGCGTACGGGCAGACGGGCTCCGGCAAGACGTACACGATGGAGGGACCCGACCACCCGGACGACACCAGCGTGGGCATGATTCCCCGCGCCGTCATGCAGGTGTTCCGTTCAGCCAAGGCGCTGCAGGACAAGGGCTGGCAGGTACGTAGCGTACCGGCGGGCTGACAGGGCTGGCGGCGGCTTGCGTCTCCCCTCGCGTTCGTAGTTTCACTTCGTTTCTTTTAGTTTCTCTTTGTTTCTCCTCGCTTTTCTTCATTTCTCCTCGTTTCTTTTCCTGTCTCTTCGTTTCTTTATGGCGGCTCGCGTCTAGCATTCGTCGTTTACCACCGCGGAGCTTCTCGGCATTTTTTTCGACGCGGAAATTCTCGGCGTGTACGTCCGTAGCGCGGCGAGCCGATCACGGGCGAACGAAAGGATTGCGCGTGAAAAAAATGCACTAGGTTAGCGCGGCAACCGACAACGTTTAATTCTAGTTTGCAACCTAGGAATTAAACGCCACTCGTTTGCCTGTATACATGACAGCAAGAGGGTGCTAGTGGATTCACCCTTCCGGCAACACTCAGCGACTCGATCATTAACTCGATTGTTCGTTACATCGTTCTCTTCGCTCCGCAGTACGACATGTCGGCGTCATTCATGGAGATCTACAACGAGTCGCTGCGGGATCTGCTGAGCGCAGACGGCAAGGAGCAGAAGCACGACATCCGACTGAAGAAAGCCGACAACGACGTCGAAGTGTCGAACATGATCGTCGTCAACGTCGCGGGAGAGGCGGAGGTAAGTGCTTCAATCGTGGCTGCTGTTCCTGTTGGGCTTAGCGTTCGTGGACTTGTTAAGGTGGTGAAGTTCGTGTCTGGTGATTGAAACCCTATGTATGACTCTGCAGTGTGTCAATGAAGTCATGTAAATTTTTTTGGAAATTGTTTTCTTAAGCAGCCTGTACGTTTGGTAGACACAGGCGTGTGTGCGTGCGTGCGTGCGTGTGGTGTGTGTGTGTGTGTGTGTGTGCATGCCACATTCTCGTATGTAACCATGATGCGACGTTTGCTTTCTTGCTCGAAGGGAACATTTGAATCATGTAATCCCTTTTTTCTGCAGTTATTCTATATATACCTGACTAAGAACGCGAATGTAAGCTACTATGCTCTACATCTAGGAGTGCTATTCAATATTGATCACTCCTGCGCTTACCGATGGGTACCTTCTGTTCCAGGTGTACAAGCTGTTGAAGATGGCATCACGCAACAGAGTGGTAGCTGCCACAAATTGCAACGAACGCTCTTCGCGCAGTCACTCTGTGTTCCGCATGCGGCTGATCGGCAAGAATAGCCTGACCGACGAGAGCTGTAACGGTGTGTTCTACTGACATTTTGCATTCTCATGGCATCTTCCTGCTTTACTGGCTTCCTGCAGTGCAGATGATGTTTCTTTCTACTAGATGATATTATTGTTTAGAACTCGTTTCTCGTTAACCCTTTCAGATTTTTGCTGTCTGATTACATGAATTAGTTTCATGCTCAAATCCTCTTTATGGCATTATTCCTGCCTCTCATTTTTTTTTTTATTTCCTCTCCCTCTCTTTCTCTCTCGCTCTGTCTGTCTGTGTATGTGCGTGTGTCTCTCCTTCTGCTTCCCCCCTCTTTCTCTCTCTCTCTCTCTCTCTCTCTCTCTCTCTTACTTTCTCTCTCTGCTCTCTCTTTTCGCTCTCTCTACTCTCTCTCTTTCCCTCCTCTCTCTCTCTCCGACTTTCTTATACAGCCATGCACGCAAATAGTATATGTGCTTCTCTCATCAGTGAACTTACATTTTCGTGGCTGTAGGAAAGCTCTGCCGAACCCTGGGTTAGACCTCCCTGGCCCCAGCTGAGACGACTAAAGGAGAGCGGGTCAGAGGGTAAGCGACTGGAGGAGACGAAGAATATCAACAAGAGCCTCAGCACGCTAGGTCAGGTCATCCTCGCCCTTGCTAACAAGGTTAGTATTTTATTATTATAAATATATAAATTTCACCAAATATAATTAAATTATAATATATATTATATATTTATAATGTATAAAATTATAATATTATTATAAATAGTTATATTATCATTATTATTATTGTAAATCATCATTGCCTGTAGGGCCTAATTTAAATACAAATACATGTCCTGAAGGTCATTGCATAACTATCATCACTCTGTCGAACCTCTGAGCATGTCGTTCGCTGCCGGGGATCATGCTTTCATCTTATGCTTTATATAATGTATGATGAGTATACAGCTAGGTAGCCATTGCCGTAGGCTATCGTAAGGGGCGTAAAAATAGTAGGCTATTGTTGAGGATAAGTGGAATAGTGTGTAATGAATGTAATAGCTGCAAAACTAATGTAAGAAATAATGGGGAAAATATCCTTTCAGTATAATCCTATCTTAGATGTGATTTGTACTAGATTGTATTTCTCAAAGCGGTAGGAAAAATTTTCTCCTTATCAAGTTACTCTGTTCGAGTCACAGAATTTTCCGCTGCTAGAAATTCGCTCGGGCTAATGGCCCGGTTCAAGTGGTTGCACTGCTGCTTGTTCACGGTTTTGTTATTCGCTATCGTTCTATTTTTTTCCCTGCAGGACACACATGTGCCATACAGGAACTCAAAGTTGACCTTCCTGCTGCAAAACTCACTCGGTGGCAACTCAAAAACACTCATGTTTGTCAACGTGTCGCCCAAGGAGGAGCATTTCAACGAGACTCTGAATTCACTCAGGTTTGCCACGAAGGTATGTGCATGCATTCGGCCATTCCTGCAAAAACTACGTCATGCGTTGATCGCGTAGAGGGAAACCTGTGTCAGCAAGCTGCTTTTAGCTAGAATTTATGCTAATGTTGGATAAAAATATTGTAATAGAAGTACAAATATATCACTAGAATATAGTTTTGCTAGTAGTGATGAAAGCAATCGATGAAAAGAATTGATAAAGCTTGGCGATCAAACAAACGTAGCTATTATATATATGCCACAACACACTATAACTAGCTTCATGTTTGTTTCTGCCACAGGTGAATAACTGCAATATTGGAACTGCCAGGAAGAAAGTGTGATTTTGCAGCAGTTACTGGACACATCGAGACTCACGAACATGTATATTTTGGCAGACTGCAAAGTCTGTGTGTACGCTATGCAACAAGCCAAGAAATGCCAGCCATGGTCGGATATGTGCAATTCGCACAGACGAATGGCTGCAAAATTAAAGTCGCATATTGATCCTTTGCTGTTATGAGACTCATCGTTTTGTAAAACACGTTATTTAAAGGTTGCAGTTCATGTCTCTCACGCTTGACTATATATATATGTTTTCTAGTGTGTAGTAGGATGTTTTCCCGCAGTTAGCAGCATTTACGTATTCAGTCTATATGACCATTTTAATTACTAGGTTGGCCACTCAAACTGGAGGTGCTTGGTACGCTAGTCTTTTATACGTTTCTTTACACTGTGCTGTAATGTGTGTTATCTGTAGTGGATTGGTTTTTAGTTCGTGTGCATATATTATGGAAGATGATTGCAGTGGTGACGTTAGATCTTGTATTGGAAATGTGGAAAATTATCGCTGTGTATTTCCCTTCCCTTCAGTTATTACGCTTTTTAAGATTTTCTCTGTCTACCCAGATTTATATGTATACTTGGAAACGAGCTGTTAAAATGGCTGTGAAGTTCGTCAACATTTTCTTCTTCCCCTGCTTAGAATTTGGTGAATATTATTATTAATTATAGATCTGTGGCTGATTGTTGCACGAGGATGAGTTTTGTTGGACGTCAATTATTGTGACAACGTTAAAACGGTATGATTTTGTAAAACAATAATTGAAACTGATTCTCAAACCAGAAGTGTTACACATTTCTATGAATGCCAAGAAAATAAATCCATTCTTTTCCATAGTCAATTCAGTGTTCTTGAGAAAACTTGCTAAAATGCCAATGAATACCCACTGATGGCAGGCCAACCCTGCAATGCAGTATTATCGCCAAAAATATATGTGTAGTATGTATAGTAGGTTACACTTATATTGCTACAGATACAGATACAGATACAGAAAATTCAGGTAATAAATTTCACGACTTTATAGACAAAATCTTTCAATGATAAACACAGTCACTATTTGGATAAATGGTATCTGCATTTACCACTAAGTGCCTCTCTGATATTTTCAACTAGACGTTCGCGCCTTATAGCCTTTTTACATATTTACTCATCATTTTTAGTTCATAGACACGTTTAACGGACCTGTACAGACCTACACGACAACCCCCGAACGCGAGTTTTACACACAAAGAACACAGCCCATCTCATTTGGCAAGCGATTTCGACTCGGACATCCTAAAAAGGACATCCAGCCAAGTGTTTTACCGATATATTTTGGAACACTATCATGTATCACGACAAGTACAAGACGCAGTAACGAGTACTGCAACACGCTGGCTGTGCCAGGTACTTGGTAACACATAAAATATAAGCCAATCGAACATTTATTACCGGTATGAAATGAGATCATCGTGACACCGCCATCGTACCGACAAACACTTCAACGACTACGTTCACACAGACCGCTACACAAGCATGGGTCGTTTTGAACTGTTGAATATTTCTTTTTTTTTCTTTTTTTTCTAGTTCCCTCCTCCCCTGCTACACAATTATTTTCACCAGGTTTAATATCGCCTAAATATTAGACGAGTAAGATCTGGTAACGTTACAATATGAATCGTGTCACTGGGTATTTCACTTCATTACGGAAGCTTCAGCAATCATGTATGATACCATCCAACTGCACCTGCCGAACACAGCACCATCTATCAACATACGAGAGCATGACAGTACCGACTGCACTATAAAGAATCACCTTCGCCTAGAAAATGCAAAATAAGTACGCCAAAACTAATGGACATATTATAAGGAGTGTATAATATAAAACTAATTCCACTTCTCTTCGCAATATTTATACTTCGCGCAGAAATGGTCTCTGAAAGCACCATATATACACGGATTCATAGTTTTAATCTCAACGACAGAGTCATCAGAAAATAACATCCGAGGTACATAAACAACAGCGATAACAACTATAACATGAGTCTATCAATATTGATAGACTCCTGCTATAATGGTAGAGCCCACCAAAAATCTATAAACTGCTACTATTATGTACACTGCAATCAAGGTTTGATAGACTGTAAAAACAAAAAATAAATAAATGATGACTGACTAAAACACACTAAGCAATTTCTGCAGTATAGGACGAGTTCATTGATGACATCCATGGCTGTAACAGCCTGAATGTCCACACTCGAAGCCTACAAGATATGTCCTCCATGAAAATGAGGTATTCACTGTATTTTCAAGTCACAATCTACCATAAAAAAAGCTGAATTATTCGTTTCGTTTGTACGTTAGCGTTTGATTACAACGCAAGCACGGGCCGATAACGATAAAATGTACCCACCGCGCACTTCGTAGCCGAGATTCCTCTTTGTTAAATGCACGCTGAAATACGACTCGACCGGTAAACGACGTAGTCTCGCGACACGGCCTCGTGCGAAAACGAACATCCGGTTCTTCTCGAACACACGTCACCCGATACGAACATCATCGCAGAACGCTTATGAAACATGGGGAGATTCTGCAAAAGTCAAACAAATCTTACGCGATTAACACCGGGAGATTCTACCGATTTCGAGATTCTTCCGAATTCGTGAAATCCTCCGTTTACGCGAGGCGTTAGAAGAGCGATTTCTAAGTGCAATCGAGTAGTCGCGGACTCATATCCTAAAGCTCTCGTGTTTGGCGTCGATATGTCGCAGTCTCAAGTAGACATCAGTGCCGATTCCCTGCATCGATTGGATCTCCAGGGAACCGCCCAAGTAGCCAGCGTAAGCTCTGGACGTGGGAAGCCCAAATCCATACCTGCAGCAATTAGAGAGCTGTTGCATGATGCAATCGCGTGCGAATACCACCTTGCTGGTCTCCCACCACAATGAATTCAATGTGTGATGTATATATATAGTAGTCACGCACACACGGACCACACACGCACACACGGACGCACACACGCACACAAGGTTCATAGTAGCAAGACACGTGTTAAAATTAAGGACTTACAAGACCCTTCCTGGAGGCCAAAATAAGACATTTTTACGCGATTTCTGATAGATCACCGACTATTAAAGTACACTAATAATATTTATATACACAATTGCACAGCAGATTTAATTATTCCGTATTATATATCAAACAATTCTTACTCTAAGTCGATAACAGTTTATAAAACAATGTTGAAAAATGGTCCTTTGGCAAAAAATTTCACCAAAAATAAGTACTAATAAGGGCCCTTATTTTATTTTTGACAAAATAAGTACTTATAAGACTTTGGAAGACCCGCTACGAACCCTGGCACACACATAAGAGCAGACGACGGTTATGAACGATCGGAACTTACCCATACATGGGCCCGCCATGGGGATCCGGATTGCAGACCTCGAGAAACGTCGACAGCCCATTACCGCTGTCCGCCTGGTCTTCTTTGGCTGCTGTTGTGAAGTGGTACTCCATCACCTTGTCCAAGTTCTGGTGAGGAATGCCACCGCCTCGATCCGAAAACCTACAGCCGCAATCACTAAACTGTCAAGGCCGATAGTGCCCTTGGTATGACTTTCACGTACGCGTCGCGTTTGTCTGGAAGATTCATGTGCAAATTCCAGTTTTGTCAATTGAGAGCTGTTCACTAATTGTTCTAAATGAGTCCTACCTCATAATAAAGTCCACTTCATTGCTAGCAATGGTGACTGTGATAGGATGGACATTATTCATGTCGTTCTTCTCTATCGACGATCTGTAAACAAAAAATGATAAATCTGACCAAGAATAATCTTCTAGGTTTTCAAGTACTGACCCCAGCACATTCAGTATCACTCTGCAAAACAAACTTAACCCCAGACGCTGGTGTCAAGCTTGCATGGGGTCTGTTATCAGAAACCAGAAATAGTTATGACATCATAAGTATTTGCCGTGGTTTTCAACAATGGGTCCACGAACAATAATTGTCACGAACATATACCACAAAAGGAAAATGAACTTCCATTTAATCACTCTGAATTTCAATAGTTTAGGAAAAGGGTCATAAGATAATATGCAAAATGAATCAAGGACAACACACTAGTCGCCCATACCTCATAGAATTCTTGAGCAGCTCTGGAAGGATGTAGTCTAGTGGCTGCTGGATGTAGGGAAAAGATGCGTTGAGATGTCCGTTTAGCTTAACCTCTGGCACCTTTCCATAACGATGCTGACATACGTTTCTGAAACCATCGAACAAAGGCATTGAACGTCTCCATATAGAATCCTGTGTGGCTGGCTGGTCTCTATTAAATTCTATGCAACTGAGATTATCAATGTATCACATGAGACAAGGAAGGCTATATGTATTTCAGATACAGATCAGGAAATTCAGGGATGTACAGGGATGGATTTGAAACACTATGCAATCTGATGAAAATGAAACTTCAATGCAATATAACTGTGACATTCCCCCATTAGTGGAGAAGAACGGCAGTGCAAAAATGTAAAGATTATCTAAGAACATCGGTACTTGGCTAAATTCCAAGTTACCACATGATATGCAACGAACGATCGAGTTGAAATGATTCACATTTCACACTTACGATGCAAAGTCAGCCCAGCTCTCAATGACTTTCTTCAAGTTCATGTTGACCGTGATGATGCCAACGTTTCCAGGCTGGTAAAAAATAATAGAGGACGCACCAAAGTCAATGGTTTTGCACTACCACATGCTACAAAATTAACAAAATAATAATATCATTAATGAACCACTTGGCACAAATACAAAACGACCTTCATCAGCATTTTAAAGACTAATCATTGGCAACTTGCCAAGTGTAAACATTACCAAAACTAAACGAACCATCCACGACTCCGATTTAACTGTCGTGCACGTATCCGAATGGTGATACCCAATAATTTACGGTCTCACAAAATAGCACTGGTTACTCTTCACAGCTCTCCCAGTCACTACAACGTGGTGGTGCTAGTCTATCGCACGGACGTCGCCACACTCACGCAGCGCCTTATTGTGCATGAATGACCTCACCTTGTTTTCATGCAGCAGCAGATGATGCTCGGCTATTATGCGGATGCCAAGACGCGACGTCAGCGTTCGATCGAGAAACATGCGGACCATTTCCTCATCCTGCACGCAAAGACAAATCACGCAGTTATACATCTATGTTTTACTGCCCCCCACCAATCTGTTTCCGAGAGGTGAGAAATATAGGCTGCGGGACTATGAGAGAATAGTTTCCGAATTCCAGCTTCAAGTTATCGTAGTGAAATATGTATATATATGAATAATGAATAATGAATATATGTGAATAATGTGTATATGATACATATATATGTACTGACACCGTACGTGATATACTATGTGTACAGGAGTGAATAATAATAATAGATTATCTAATATTATTCACTCCTGCTATGTAACATAGTGTATCATGTGTCATAAGTACTGCTCATAGGGTCTATGTCCCCCAGGGTACTGCCGGAACGTACCCTGGGTACGGTGCGGTATACCGGAACGTACCCTGGTACTATCTAATATGCCGGACCATACCTCGCCTACTCCACTAACGAGTCTAGGGAGTCGCCTACGCCTACTCCCTAACCCTAACCAGAACCCTAACCCTATAACCATATCAAATAGTTACCAGGATACGTTCCGGCAGTACCCTGGGGGACACAGACCCTATGAGCATAAGTACTTGTAATGCTGATCTTCTGCACCTACCTGTATGTGTTTCCTGCACTCTCGGAAGCCCACGGCGAGCATGGTAACGACGTCTCTGTGGTCATCCAACAGCTCCGTGATGAGGTTTGTAAACTTCTGTTCATCAACGAAATCTTTGACCTGTATAACGGAGTGTGCGTGAATAATTAATTACGAGCGAAGGCTTAATTAGCACCCAACAACGATATTTTGGTGCGTTTGGTCAGCTGAAAACGGTTTTTTTTGTTGGGATCTAATTAAGTTAGTTGCAAGTAAAGACATCTCTGAACACGTGGCGTCTAAGTGGGCTAGAGTAGCGTTTTTGCATTCTAGGAAGTTAAATCGTGTATGAAAGCAGCAGTAGTTCACATTTCCCAGATATTGCTGCAAAAACTCCCAAGAGGATCCCCCGCCTAGTGTTTTTTGTAACCGACCTAGCTGGCAGCAGCAATAAAAAGATTGCAAGCACGTGTAACTTTGAAGGTGCCCTACAGAGCAATAAAGTTCTATGAACTCTTATATCCGTCATGTGGGCCGTTAAATATTCTTAAAATTGAAGTATCAAAATTTCAACTCACTCAGTAAATATTAAAGTTTACATGTCATAATTAAGTTCAACTTCATATATTCTCACTTTTTGTGACTAATATCAATTTCTGTAGCAAATATATGCAGTTAATAAAGCAGATGGGGTCGTTGTCGAATCAGGTACTACAGATATGTACCCGAGGTAGTTTTACGTTGTTTAGTATTATGCTTATATTTTTATATGAGGTATGTTTAGGGTTAGTGTTAGGGTTAGGGTTAGGGCTAGGGTTAGGGTTAGGGTTAGGGTACACTTCTGTAATACAAGTCTGGTACACTTTGTGTATACATATATGTACCTCGGGTACATATCTGTAGTACCTGATACGACAACAACCCCTTCAGCGTTAATAAAGTAGTAAAGTAGTGGATCGATCGTTAACAAATATCTAATATCGTAACAAATATCGATCGTTAACTCCTTCAAAGAATAAATATATGTTTCCATATAAAATGCTCATCCAATGAAAATCTTACTAAGAAGTAATTTGTCTAATCAAATAATAAAATGACTGCAAGCTCATGCTATATTGCTCAAGAACTGAGTTCAGCTCAAGAAGCACGATCCCACATACAACTTGTGAGATATAGCAGCATAATTTTGCTATGTTGCTGATATATGAGCTATAATTACTGCATTAGCGTAAGCTGCGTAGCCTAGGCAATGAAAACTACATGTAAACGAAGAAACGTTAAACCACGTCCACAGTTTACAAGGCATCGTATAAATAACATATGATTGCTCGCCATGCAACGATCTAAAAATGGCAAAATACCGAATGACTACTTCTATACTAGGTCCGGCCCTAGCTGCTGGTGACCGATCCAGGCACCGAAAGAATTTTGTACGTAAACAGCACACTGCTCGATCAGTGGCATGACACCACTTCCCCTCTAGCATGGTCTGTTGAGAAGTTTTGGTCTGCACTCGGGGTCAGGCACCCACAGGGTTGGGCATGGCAGTTTGTTGCACCCGTTTGCTAAAACAACACCGTATAGCAAGCGGATGCAACCGGCACTTACAAACAACTCTCGGTTTAAACCTACGCACCAACTGACGCAGCGTTATATCGCGCCGTATAGTATGCGAGCAGTTAGAAACACATCACGAAGCCACACCCACAAGGTCCACAAACCCGCTATGAATCAAAACCTCGGGGATCTCAGCCTAACCGCCGCGTGCACGTGTAGCTGCATGTGCGCTACACGTGCACTGCCGCGTTTAGACGGCTCGCATCACATGAAACGCCCAGGCCACCCTTACAAAAAATTTTGTTTCCCCTTTTTTTTATCGTAGGCCCCACAGCAATTCGCACGTGGCACGTGCGTGAACCGAGTCCCGTGACGCAGTAGGTTATACTCACCGGTGGGAACTGAGAAAGTAGTTGGAATGCTCTAATGTACATTTCGTGCTGGAAAGAAAATATAGGTGGCGATTAGCTGAAACTGCTGCTGGTTATATTCGTACATCTGCATTTCAAATTACCAATACACTCTTCCTATCATCAGGAGTTAATAAAGGCAAATTTGTCTTTATTAACTCCTGATATCATGTATAACGATTACTGTTCCTCCTACCTTTTCCCTATATTTTAATTCAAGTCGAATTTCAATAACCGCATTTCAGCAAAACTACATATATAGTTTTGTATCCGTATCCAAAGAAAAAACAACATTATAAGCAGTCAGTGTAGAGCACTTGGTTATAAAAGCGAAAACTATAAAAGGCAGTGGTATGTACATATAGTAGTCTACTATGATACAACGTAGTATTCTACTATGATACAATGTAGTATTCTACTATGATACAATGTATAGTAGTGAGATGCATGAGATGGGAAACAGGGAGATGAAGCCTGTGACAACCAGGCAGTTTGAAACAGACAGGATTTGCATCACAGCAGCAACGTGGGATAAATGAGGTGAAAGATGCAAGACAATACCGCAGTGTTGATACTTACCACCTGAAGAATGTTTGGGTTACAGCCGACAATGAACGGAAGACCACGGAATCCATTGATTCTATGAGCAATTCTCACTGGCAGTTCCTTATGTAAATATTGTGCACTTCTCTGCAATATAGAATGAGAGACAGTTGGCTATAACGAGTGCATTTTCATCACCTATGTAAATCCCACACATTCACAAATTCATAACAATTCACACATGGTTCCCACAGGGTGGACAACAAGTTAGCTGTCTAGGATTCTTGCGCGTGCATCTTCTGTATGCTTGCTAAATCTTTATTGACCTAACAACATACTATATATATGACCCCCTTTCATTAGCACCATGTCACCCACTAAACATACATGCTGCAGTCTATATAATTATTAGCGCTGGCAAAATGTTGCAGAGAGTAGAGCAGTATAGCCAGTTTATGCACAAATTGTAAGCAAATATTTTCACAAGCTGAAGCAATATAAATTGTGTCTGCATGCTTGTGCGCGCGTGTGCATGCACGTCCGTGTGAGAGTATGGTGGGGTTTATAGGTCTGAGGAAGCATACAGCTACATATCCTAGCTAATGCCTACAACCTCTTGATGTTATATAATATAAAGCTGTAAGCCAGGTCAGGCAGCGTACGTAATAAGACTTAATTATAACATGCTACCAGGAGTGAATAAAGACAAAAATTTGAAGTGATTCACAATTCTGATGTTATAACCATGTGCCATGACAGAGGAAAATCTTTTAAAAAAGCAACCAGATTGTACCCGATGGGCCGATACCACCCCTCACGGTCACCTATCACTACACACAGTTAGAAGATATGCAGTCAGTCCTGACGGGCAACTATATGTAGTATTAAGTAACATATATTATTAGGAGTGAATAATAATAGATCTATTATTATTCACTCCTGATATTCCTCATCATGAAAATAATTCCTAATAACCGGAGGTCACACATCCGACACTCACTGACTTATGCTATATACTTAATTAGCTCTAGAACTATAACCCTTCGCTCTGCCACAGGCCTCTGCACTCTGCCTGTGGCAGAGCGAAGGGCTATATTTCTAGAGCTATGTGCTACTGTACTTGTACGTGCTACTGTACTTGTGCAACTGTAACCGACCCTGCGGGACTTTTTTAGCGTTTTTTAGCGTAGCCTAGTGGGGTGTGACCTGCCTACTTTGTGAAAAGACGCGGCGAGACTGCTGCAGTATGATTGATAATAGCACGCATCTCGCAAGTTAGCTCTATATGAGTGTATGCATGCATGGTTAGCTATAGCTTTTACTGTAGAGAAAGCGAAGGGGCTATATACCGGTAGAGCTACTCACTCGTAAGTTGTCGTTTATACAGAATGCGTTCAATTACAAAAGTATTTATCGATAGGGAAATCAGATAGTCCTAGAGGCAGTGAACAGTGTTCTTCAATAAACCTAGGTGCACAAGTGATATTAGTGCTAGAGCTGGGTTGGAATTATAGCGCGGGGATAGTTTGTACTTGTAGACTATAGAGAATCTATCGCTATGAGAAACCACACGTGCCCTTCCAGGATGTATATGCCACTTGGGAACTATATCTAGAGCTATATATCCAGCATATTATACATGCTATCTACTGAAAGAAGATGCCGATCCCATGCCAGACCTCCTTTACACACGGTGCCCTCGTAGTTTGATAGAAACTGATTCCCCTAGCATAACCTTGGAGGCAATTTTTAGTGCTCATCCAATACAGGTCAATTATTCAGATCATGGTCACTGCGTGGAAGAACTAGGTTCTATATAGACACCAGAGCTCTGTCACTCTCCCCTCTCTCTTGCTATATATATATAACTATATGAGAGGAGGAGGAGGGAGTAGGAGAGAAAAGGAAGAGGGAGAAGGGAGGGGGAGACAGGCCCCCCCACCCCCCGCCCCGACTGGGGAGGGCGTGCGCTACACTGGCACCCACGCCTGGAGGACCGCCAGGACGCCACGCGCAAATGCGGCGAGTGGAGCAGGAGAAGAAGAGAAAAGAGGGGAGGGGAGACAAGAGGCAGAAGGGGAGGGCGGTGTAACAGAGAGTGGCGGAGAGGGAGAGGGAAGAGAAGAGGGAGAGGAAGAGGAAGAAAGAGGGGATGGCG